TTTCCACTGTTCTAGACATGAAAAATACAGTCTGCATTATAGTTCCAAAACACAAGAAATTGTCTTCTGTCTGCATACATAATTTACTATCTATCAAGGTCTTGGTGATGATATTGTTTAGTTACTAAGTCGGTTCTCCTGAGTAGAATTTACAGTGCTCGGACTCTACTGGTTTACCATTGTATCCTGGGAAACAGACGTTCAAATTAAATCTCAAGTACCCATGGTGAGGGGACGAATCTGTTTTAAGGAAACTGTGCTTACACATGCCTCGGTTTTTAAAAGTTCAATTGAATTTTTTATTCTTTTCTATTTAGATTATTTGTTCTATTTTATCGTAATTTATATAACTAATTTTGTTTGTTGTGATTAAAAATTTATTTAATCTGCTAAATATTATTTTCTACACGGTAACCTGCATATCTGGTATATTAGTTGTATATACAGTATGTTAGTTGCATATACGGTATGTTGGTTGCATATCCAGTAAGTTACATATTCGGTATGTGTTGTAAATCCGATATTTGTTAAACCGGTATTTCATCACGATTATTTTTTCTAACACTTATCTCTTCTTTCATTGCTTTTGTCCACTCTACTGATTTCTCATTCTTCATAACCTCCTCACATGCATTCGTCTTTCTATTGGATAATTCTTCATAACTAGCATGAGCAAAGGGAAACTCAGAATCATAAATGATCCATTGAGGTTCCCTATGATGTCTTCTCTCTCTCTAGCCAACTCATAATTCAGTAAAGGATCTGGATAAATTGGGTGTTCTTCTACCAGTGTTTCACCTCTTTCTTCTACTTCAGGTTGATAAATTTGAGTCTCCACCTCACTAGAGGTGATAGGGACATGTGTACAAATCACTTGCACCACCTTCATGGTTTTCACTCAATTGCATGGAATCAGTGCTTAAAAATGTAGTACAAAAGTATATGTTGAAGTTTATTTGTGAAAGTTTTTTGGCTAGCTCGAGATAGGGGAATACATGGCCATGAGCCAACCATGGAAGCATTAGAATTCTTAGACTAGTTTGTTCCATCTCCATGAACGAAAGCTGCAGAATTTCAAGCATTCATATAATATTATGTTATGATGGATCAGCATTTACGATAAAATTCTCTATTGCGATTCGTTATTAAGTTGAAAGGGATGAAAAAGTCAAGAAAGACTCATTTTGTAAGTTGGAAAGGCTTGTATTTTGGTGGCCTTATATGTGACATCACAAATATTTCTTATTGGAAAGTGGATTAGTTAATTCCATTTGAAGGCTTCAACTTCTATTTCGGAACAAAACAAAATGTCATCTTCGCTTGAACTACAACATCACAGCTAGATTAAAATATGGGAAAAGACAGCCAGCTCGTTTTCTAATGACAGTTTCAGAATAAGATAGGGTAACAAGTTTTTTTTTCATTTTGTGGTGACGAGGAAGAAAATTAGACCCTCTGATGGTAAATGGTAGAAGTTATTTTCAATGCTTTTACTGATCGAACTAAAATAGATTGCTGTAGAACAAAAATAGGAATTTTTTCTTTGATAGTTTCTTTGCTAGTTTAAGAAAAGGGAATATGTGGCCATGAACCAAAGATTGGAACATTAGAATTCTTGGACTGATATGTTGTTTCTGTTTGGGTTTGAAATACTTCCTTTATGTCTGAATTTAATACAGAATTTCAGGGAGCATAGAATGCACCAGCAAAATTGATATGGAGAAGAAGACAAATTCAAAAACAACATAAAATGCAGCAGAAACAGATGATACCCAGCAGAAGAAATAAACTAGCAGAAAGAAGAACTGAAGAAAAAATTTTGGAATAGGAAGAATGTCTTC